ATAAAACTTTGTTTTTTTTTTTTTTTTATAAAAGGCGGTATTTAACAGTAACCCTTTAATTTAAACACCCAGTATTTTTGAGATTTTTTTGGAACGTAAAATAAAAATTCTACCAGTAGATATATTCATTTGTTTTTCAGAATATATTAATTATTGTTCTTAACCAGACAACACACCAAATCCCAGAGATATCCACAGAATATATTTTGTGGATATCCAATATATCCACAGGATATCAGAAATATTCCGTGGAACTAATATGGATATCCAAATGTCCGTCTATATCCAGAATATAGAATATATCCTATGGATATTCAGCAAAATATCTAATGAGTATCTCCAGACAATACAAGAAATCCCAGATATATCCATAGAATATATTTTGTGGATATCCAACCAAATGTCCGTCTATATCCCAGGATATAGAAATTCAGATAAATATTTTATAATTATTTTTAGTAGAGGTTCATAAGTAACCAATGGTTATTGAATAACGTCGAAAGAAAATAGAGGTAAAAAATATTCCCAACAATCTGCCTTTGATTTTGCCTACTAAGGAGAAAATCATCCTTATTAGGAATCTTCAGCAAGAAATGGAACTTTTCGACTTCAATCTCTAATAAAGTCTGTTTGTGAAACAATGTCGATCAAACTCAATTACGGCGGGTTAAGCATGAGTAGATACGAAAGTGGTATCGCCATCTATACTTAGGAAGCAAAATCAAAAATTACATCTAGTAGATATCCACGATGGTTTGCGTCCGCGCTTAGACTTTGATATATTTATATTTATAGTGGATGTCCATGGGATATTGAATACACCTTAAAAAAAATTAATTTTATATATCTCAACGGTACTATTAGCCACAATGGCGAGTACAATGGCGTAATTTTTTAATAATTTGCTATATAATTACAATTATTTATGGACATTTGCATGTCTATAAATTACATTTCATGGATATAAAATAGATATCCACCATGGACTGGACATTCAGTGGATATTGGAATGTTCAGTAGATATCCAAAGGATTTGGTGTGCTGTCTGGGGGGTCGATTCTCGATTCGTAGGAATTCTGTTTCTCGCGGGCCATTTTTGCTGGTCGTATATTGTATGTAGGGTTTATTTAAATGAGTATGGATATATTAAAAAAAAACTGAGAACTATTTCAAAAGAATACAAAAAACAACTCGAGAACAATACAAGTTGTATTTTTTATTGTATTTGAAAGACAGACCAAATTTGTGTAGGTTACGGAGAAGTATTATAGGTACTTCCGTAATATAGGTTTTGTTACTGTTTCGCAGTGCTACTTTAGAAACTGCACTGTTAATAAGAATCCAATAGTAAATGGTTGAATGGGCAATCCTAACTTTGAATCCGATTTATTTTTAAAATAAATAAATAAATTAGAAAAAAAATCCTTACAAATTGTACTTGCTGTATTAGGTATTAGATGGCAATTTAGTTGTAAAATTTGTAAAAAAGTGCTTTTATTATTTAGAACACATCCTGATTCACAATGAAAAATGAGAGGGAATGCAAAAATCACTATAACGACACTTCATATTATTAACGACAGCTCTTTGGCTATCGTTGATGAACGACAATTTTACAACCATATTTGTCTATTTTCAACGACAATCGTTGTCTACTGAATAAGAAAAGTCGTCTGTGAACGATTATCGTCTATTAACGACGTCGTTCAGAGTTACTGAATAGGCCCCTTAGGGCCCTATTCAGTAATTTATCGTTTATGAACGACATCGTTAAGCTAACGATAGTTCAACCAACGACTTTTATAACGATAATTTTTGAAACTCTATTCAATAACAAAGTCGTTACGTTGTTTCTAGTTACCAAATCTGAACGATGATTTCTAGTAAGTTGGTATTAAAATTTAGTGTTTTGTGATAAAAGAACGTATGTTGATGATTATACCGGGTGTTTAAATTAAAGTTTTACAGTTAAATATCGCCAAAAATATGAATTTTATAAAAAAAAGTATCAGACAGAAGTTTTATAGTTTTTTAGGGGAAACATTTTGGCCAAATTATTTTTTTATAGCTGACCATAATATGGCCATATCGAGGTGGATTTTTTTTCAAATTGGAACCCTATTTTTTTACATAGGTATTTTTAGAGTTCATAAAAAAATAAGAAACTTCTAAGGACCGATTCCACCGTTGTGTTAAAATCGGCCCTAAAGGAAACATTTTTTTTATTGGATTTCTACTTTATTGAGTAACACCTACTTGAAAATTTTGCTGCGCGAAAAAAAGTTGGCCTTATTATGGTTTGCTATAAAAAAACATTTTTAGCCAAAATGTTTTCCCCAAAAAACTATAAAACTTTGTTTTTTTTTATAAAAGGCGGTATTTAACTGTAACCCTTTAATTTGAACACCCGGTATATTTGACATTTTTTTGGAACTAGTAGATATATTCATTTGTTTTTCAGAATATATTAATTATTGTTCTTTGAACACCCGGTATATTTGACATTTTTTTGGAACTAGTAGATATATTCATTTGTTTTTCAGAATATATTAATTATTGTTCTTTAAACCTACAACACGATCATCAGGGGGTCGATTCTCGATTCGTAGTAATTCTGTTTCTCGCGGGCCATTTTTGCTGGTCGTATTGTATGTAGGGTTTATTTAAATGAGCATGGATATTAAAAAAAACTGAGAACTATTCCATAAGAATACAAAAAACAACTCGAGAACAGTACAAGTTGTATTTATTGGATTTGAAAGACAAACCAAATTTGTGTAGGTTACGGAGAAGTATTATAGGTACTTCCATAATATAGGTTCTGTTACTGTTTCGCAAAGAACAGCACTGTTAATAAGAATCGATTAGTAAATGATTGAATGGGCAATCCTAACTTTGAATCAGATTTATTTTTAAATTAATTAAATAAATTAGAAAAAAAATTCCTTACAAATTGTACTTGCTGTATTAGGTAGATGGCAATTTAGTTGTAAAATTTATAAAAAAAGTGCTTTTATTATTTAAAACAATGAAAAATGAGAGGGAATGCAAAAATCACTATAACGACACTTCATATTATTAACGACAGCTCTTTGGCTATCGTTGATGAACCGCCTTAAAATGAGGTATTTGATACGGGCAACGTGGCAACCGTGTAAATTTCTTAAACGTAAAAAAATTGAAAGTAGAAACACAGCATATACAATACAGCTCCACAACTCCGTGTCGGCGTCTTTGATCTGGCGGTCGAGAACCAAGCAAGACGGAATGGTGCTATCTCTGTTAGATTCAAGGGAAAAGTCGGGCCCGGATTAAACAATTTTTTTTATTATTGAAAAAATTGAAAACCTTGGCGTAATAAGGTTGGTTACATGCCATATTAAGTAAGTTTTGGGAAATTAATTTTTTAATTTGTTTTAAATCTGTCAAATATAATTAATAAATTATTTAAATATAAATATTACGAAAAATAGCACATCTTTCGGATTGGAGGTAAAATAATTTGTATGTGGCTAGTAAAATCCTCGTTAACAAATGTTGAGCTAAAACAGTCACTTCACGACAAATTGTGACTTGGATCCTTTTAACACCAAGGGCTTCAATTGTTAAAGAATTTTGTCACGCTCGTGGATGCAAATCAAGTGATACCCCGTGTGTCTCGCAAGTGTTACTCTTCGCGCAAAGGGTTTATACCTAGATAAACGAATGCTTCGACTGAGGTCTGGGAACTCTATGGTATTTTGGAATTATAAAGAATTTGTGCCTTTATTTTAACAATATTGGTTATATTTAGATGTATTCTTATTAATTGAAATACAGATTTGTAGAAGTAATACTTTGACAGTTTTTATTATTATAATATATTCAATTTTTATCTGACCATACCGAAGTAGGGAATTTTAAAACTTTATAGTAATGTGAAATTTGAATTACAATATTACACGAAATTACATAATTAGTACTAAATGTGTACTTGGAGAAAGTAATATCGATTTTTACAAGAAAACTCGAAAAGTAAATTAATTTAGTTCCTATTTCTGATGTAAAACTTAAACCACGAAAACAAATAAATAGTAGTTTGTTCAACAAGGGTAGATATGATAGGCATATCACACAAAGACGAAGTTTCATCATAAAATAAAATACAAGGTGTTCCATTTAAAAAACATACATTTTAATTTGCCAGGCAAAAACGTGACACCCTGTATATCCAAAGATATTTTTAAAATATGTAGGTATTTTTCTAATCCATATAACTTTTATTTAAAACTTTTTTGCGTGTCTACAACAAAATAATGAACAATAACGCACTAATGGGACACCCTGTATAAATTATATTTTTAACAATGAAAATTTCTTATAATGTGATACTTATCGGTTTGGGTCCTTGGGAAAACTAAAGAATGTTTTCTTGCAGGTATAACCCTTATTAAAACAGCTTTTGACTGCACAAACAGAATGATGTCTTTCTTTTCACTCATTCTACTCACAGCTAAAGAGTCACCAAAATAATAACAGTACCTTTAACTCAAACAAAATCAACGAAATTATAGGCTCCACGAAATTATACAATCAACGAAATTACACGCACGACTCAACACCTTACCTAAGTACGGTTCTGAACGCCAAAACCGTCTTTTCCCTCCGAAGGCGGGCTTAAGCGATGCGCGAAGAAATCGACGCAAACCGTTGCCGCCAAGAGAGTGTTTTAGCTGTATTGTATAAGCTGTGGTAGAAATTTGACAACTTGACCGGTGTGTTTACGTTTACATGTTGAGTTGTCACTTCTTTTCTTATTACAGAAAATCAAGATAATTCAGAACGTTCTAAGAAAATTACCGCTTGGTTGATAAAAAAGGGCCAGATTTCGAGGTATGTGTAAAAATCTCGATTTTGACACGTTATAATCATTCCAAAGGGGTCAGAAAGACATTCTGTCCACTCACCAAGTTCCATTTAGTTCTTTCAATGACTGAAAACAATTTATACAGGTAGTAAAGATGTTATTATCATTAGGAAGGAAATCTAGGTACCTTAGGTTAATCCTATTAGGTACTATATTAGTCTCAGTACTGTATTTATTAATAACTTACGAAAAAATAGATCAAATTGACAGTCCTGTGGCTAGTAGATTATACCACAGGCAGACTCCTAAGTTAGTTCAAGGACTAGGAAACTTTGAGCCAAAGGAAAACGAAAATAGAGATGGTCCAGGTGAAAGAGGACAGCCACATCATCTAAAGCAAAATCAGCAAAATAGTGCTGATGATTCTGAATCAGAATACGGAATGAACGTGGCATGTTCAGATGAAATCTCATTAGATAGGAGTATCGTTGGTAAGTAATTTATCTATTTCTAATACGCCTATGATCCTTACTTCTAAATTTTTAGATACACGTTTAAAGGAATGCAGACATTGGGATTACCCTGAAAATCTTCCAACAACAAGTGTTATTATAGTTTTTCACAACGAAGGGTGGTCAGTTCTGATGAGAACTGTACACTCTGTCTTGAACAGATCTCCCAAGCATGTACTGAAGGAAATATTATTAGTTGATGACTTCAGTGATAAAGAGAATTTGAAATCAAAGTTGGAGAGCTACATTGAACAGTTTAATGGCAAAGTAAGATTGATAAGGAACAATCAAAGAGAGGGTTTGATTAGAACAAGGTCTAGAGGTGCTCAAGAAGCTACTGGGGAAGTTATTGTGTTCCTAGGTAAGGAGTAATGCATTTGCTAAATTGATTTAGGTATATTTTTGTGATTAATTTGATTAATAATTTACTTTCTCATTAAGCATGTAAATTTGAATGTGTTTTTAATTTGTAGTTTTTTAAATGGCTTGTTCTTCAAGTTTTGTCAGATAAATATTTTATTTATAAATAAGTCTAGGTTTATAAGTAATAGAATATAAAATTAAAATCCAAATACTAATGAATAATCCAATTGTAATTTAACTTTTCTAAAAACAATTCATTCTGATTCATCCAGTTTAAAATAAAAATATATCCTATTTATTTTGATTGTTTTACCTTGTTTAGAGGAAAATTTACATTACAAACTGAAAGATCTGTGGGGCAATGGTAGTTTCTTAGGTATACAAATTACATCTTAAGGATGGAGCCTAAATATTACAAAATTACTTCTGAGACTAAACAGAATCAGCATTCATTCATAATTTTAACAAATGCATGTAGATACGAAAGATTCATATTATTAACTCTAACTCATGAAGTTGAGATGTATTTTACAATAATTGATTGTCTGATAGTAGAAAAGTGCCTATAGTTTAGCAATACATTTGCTCCTGTACCATCGATGTCCTCGATTCAAAAAGCCAAAGTAACAAATACAGGAGGACAATGTAAACGGACAATAATTGGTCTCTTGACATTTTGCATTTTTAAATAAACGAGCTCCTTAAAAAAATATTTTCTATACCTGTTGTTTTTTATATTCAAGTGGATTTATAATATTCTTGGGGTAGCCATGAGTGAGTTAGTTAAATGAAAAGGTACTTTTGTTTTATAATATGTAACAATCAGATATAATGTTTAAGCATATTTTTATATATATTTTTACAAAAATTATTTTTGTTGTTTGAATAATCTGTTATTTATTTATTTATTTATTTATTCTATCTGATCAGGCCTACAAGCCTTATTACAAGGATAGTTATTTTACAAAATTATTTAATTGATAATTTCTATTTTTATCAACTAACTTAACAAAAATTATCTATACTAAACTAAAGGGGATAATAATTCAAAATACAGTGTATGGGGAAAGACGATGCACTACAAACTATTCAAAACGAAAAATGAGCTACTTCTAAAAATAAGAATATTTTTTAGAAATGTAAAAAAATTAAAGAATTGTTTTCTTTTTGGTTTGGAGCTGATTATTTTCGTAAATGAGAAGGTGACATCAAGAGTATTAATTATACCTTATTATTTATTATTATACAGACAAGTTACATATGTATTTAACGCCTACTCTCTAATGATCCTATATTAAATTTAATACGAAGTCATGTAGTTCTTATAGTATTATAATCCGATCTTTTATTATATTTTCTGTAATGAAGATGCCTTAAGAATTTGTCTTGTATTTTCTCAAGTTCCTGTAAAGGTGTTATAATGAACCACCTAGGTACAGCTTCTGGAACAAATTCATAAAAACCCGTATTATGGCTGGCTATCAGCAGCCGAGTTGTAAGTTGCACAGTTAAAAAAATTTATCCATTTGGGCAAAAACTACAAATGAATTGAAAAAAAAAGAGTGAAAGGTAATAACTTTTTCTTTATCTCACAATGTCGGGTATAAGAAGTTATATAGAAAAAGTTAGTATTCAATATCATCTAGACAAAAAAAAATATAAATAAAATTTGACCATTCTTTAACAGATATATATTTATTTGTATTATTAAAATAATGTTTATGTCAACAAACGTATGTTCAGTATATGTAACAATTTGTAAAGATAACTCTTGTATAATGATAATATTAATATTTAAAGGTTTTAAATAAGGGCTTGAAGATATCACAGTTCGAAATTCCTTTTATTGACCATTATACTTTTTCTTTGGAATGAAAGCATTAGTTCCTTTTTTTCAGTTTAGCTCCATAAATCAATTCATATTTTAATCTGAACGGTACTTAAGCGCGGTAAAATTGCAACAACTAAACAATATAATGAACTTTTAAAATGAAATTCAATTTATATTTAGAATTAAATAAGTAAGTTAAAAAATTTTGACGGTATGAAGTTATGTTATAAATAATTACGTTACATAGATTCATATGTGAATTTTCAATTTCTATTGATGTAATAGTTATATACTCATCTGCATTTTGCAATATCAATACATGGCTTGGCTTTGGCACAAAACTCTTTGTAGTAAAACTACTAATCCGAATCAGAATCTTGATATTATTTGTGAACATAAAAACGTGGTCCACTAGTCAAAATATTTGGTATACTAATTATATATCATCAGTTGCCACTGCCACTGGTAAAATCTAAAATTTACAAAAGCGTATTATAATAATAAGACATTAATCATATTTTAAATGGATCACTTACTACCATATTTTAGAAATAAATAAAGTGTAACTCAAATTAATAAACATATTTCATAGTTGCATACAATATTTTTTCTACGTTCATGCAAAAACCAAAAAATGTTTTATAGAACTGCAGTTGTATTATCCAAATCATAGTAGCAGTGATCGTGTACCTTTGTTTAAGGCATTTATTTACGTTTGTGTTCATAATTTGTAATGACATTTTTAATAAAATACATTTTTTTATTAATCTATTTATTAAATGATTGAAAATAATATAAAATATGCAATTGTTTTTAAAACGTAACACAGAAAATGAAAATGGACTAAATATTTGGCGTTGATTTGAATATTTATGTTTGTCATGATCATAAAACGCTGTAGTAAAATGACAGATAAGTGCAATAAAATTTTTATTGCACTAGTGCAATAAAGAATCAGTTTTTTCACTAAATATAGTTCAATAAAGTTTTGTTTTTTGCATAAACGTAGAAAAAATAATTTAAGATTCCTTGCATCATGTTAACAAAAATTAAACAATTTCTCACCATTTATTTGGTATTCTGTCCCTTACTTTCATGTTTTTAATAGCTCTGCTGTCAACTAGTTCTGTTAAGGCATATTGTATATAAAAATTTGATTTTATTTTGCATCTTGTTACTGTTTGTCACTTGTAAATAGTAGAAAAGGATATACATTTTGTTGGTGTCACCCTCTAGACGAAAAAGCTTTTAACCTATTTTTTTTTATTGTAAGACAAATAAATACTCCTGTAGGTAAAAATTAAATATATTGTTCTCTTCTAGCATTTTTATGTCTTTTTTTTTTTTTTCGTTAGAAAGACATCTTTTGATTTTTTTCAAAAGAAACCGATTCAAATTTTCAAAAAATTACTCCAGACGGGTACGGGATGAGCCTTTACCTGTACTTACATAATGTTTCTTGTAGTAAAAATAAAAAATAATCCGTAAAATTGGTGTACTATGAAACCCTTGCATATTATATATGTCGATCTTAGTATTACACAAATGATTTACGTAAAACAATAAGGTGTAAAATTTATTTATCCCTCGTAGAATATCAGTAAAATATATTATAAATTGTTTTCATTCACAAATATTAATTTCTTAAAAATCTAACAGAAGCGCTACTTTCCAGACGAAAAATCTTGCAATGTAAGGGTTTCATAGTACCCCACTTTTAAAGTTTATTTTTGACTATTTAAAAAAAAATATATGTACGTGTAGATAAAGATTAAATCTAAAAACAGTTTCAAATTTTGAAAAAGTGTTTCCAGAGGAATATAGATTTTACCTTTACCTAAACGCGCATGTTTTTTCTTCCAGAATAAGTTAAAAACACTTTAAAAATGGGGTACTAAGAAACCCTTGCATACTCTGCTCTAAAACCAAGTAATATTAATATGTGCTTTTTAATTCATTTTATCAACCTAGTAAGACAGTATCAGGTAATAAATTTGTTGCTACTCAAACAATAGAAATGCTGATAAAATAAAGGAGATTAAAAAGGTTAATGTGTACAAATTCTTTTAAAATCCTTTAAGTACCATAAATATAATAATATTTTATAAATAATTAAATTTCAACCAAAACAGATTCTTTTTTAAATAATTACAGCTGTCGTGAGTCGTGAGAACACAAGTAATTTTATAAATGGTTTTAATACTTAAAATAATAAAACATTTTAAAAATATCTTAGAAAATATAATAGATGGCAAAGGAGTACTCAGTACTTAGTTTTTAATTATTTAAACTGAAAATAAATAGACATATTTGTCTAAATTATATAGGTACATTCAGTAGACTTTTTCTAATGAATTAATACATGATACAAAATACATAACAGAAGATATATATTAAACTTATGTTCTTCATCGCAATTAAGTGACACAATGTTTTAACTTTTTTTATTCTCATTTTCTTCGCATTGCTGATGATTTAAAACTATTCGTGTTGGTTAATTCCCTAAATGATTGCATTTACCTTCAAAAAGACTTGGTCTAATGGTCTACTATTAATAGCATATAATTAAAATCCAAGTAAATTCCAGGAAATCAATTTTAACAGAAAACATATACTTATTGAATATATCAATAAAATCAATTACATGACACTGTATACTATTACAGAGGTAAAAGATTTGGGCATGATAATAGAATCCTCCCGTTCTTTTCAACCCTATATAACAGCCTTAAGCATGCTTGTTTTCCTTAGAAGAACTACTTCTCATTTTCAGAATATGATGTGTTTTAAGATTCTTTATTGTTCCTTAGTTAGACCTTATATTGAATATGCCTCCCCTGAGTGGAATACCTTTTATGTATAGGTATCTAATCCATAATATAGAACAGGTTCAAATAATTTTTTTATATATTTTACATTTAAATAATTCGTCCATATAAAACGTTCCACATTTAGGAACGCTTTTAAGAGTTTAGACAACGGCCATACATGTTTACCCTACATTTATGAATGCACCCCAGCTCTAAATTAAATCCAAACTGACACTTAAAAATAAAAAGAACTGTACTCTTAGACATACGTGAATTTTTCCATGGGCCACTTTAGAAATATTTTTTATGGATCACTCCTTATTATATTTTAGTGGGCCCTGACCCGTAAATAAATATTTTTAGTTCTTTTTGTAACTGACAATGGAATAAATTTTTCACAACCATTTTTTTAAAAGTGCCACTTGAAATATAAAAAATCACAAAAATAAAAAATTTTATACTAACAGTTTCAATTATTGTTTGTACTATCAAATTTTTATTGTTTCCATTTGTTTACTTAGACGCCCATTGTGAAGTCAACACCAACTGGCTTCCGCCCCTTTTAGCCCCCATCTATCGGGATCCCAGCACCATGACTGTTCCAATAATTGATGGTATTGACCACAAAACCTTCGAATACAGACCCGTGTACGGAGATGATCGTCATTATAGAGGCATCTTTGAGTGGGGTATGTTGTACAAAGAAAACGAAGTGCCTGAGAGGGAGTTGAAAAAGAGGAAACACTACAGTGAGCCATATAAGAGTCCGACACATGCTGGTGGATTATTCGCTATGAACCGGAAGTACTTTTTGGAAATTGGAGCATACGATCCAGGTATTTTTCTGCTAATATAAAATTCTCAATTTTTGCTTTTTATTTTTCATCTAGCAATACGTTTATATCTCAAAAAAGACAAAAGATATAAAAATGCAATTTTCACCATGTAAAAGATAATGTAATTTTCTACAATTTAAGAACTTTTCGTATATGATTTTTCAAGAATAACATGAGGGGTTTCTTTTAACATGTCTCAGTTGTATCTAGAGTCTAGAGTTAGAGCTTAATTTTTAAAAGAACTTCTTGTGAAATAATTATCTTTTCTCATATTAACCAACATAAATAATTAGCGTTTTAAAAGTTTTGGACATTTATTTTATAGTTTAGTTGTTGGAAGTAAATAAGAACACAAATAAAATGCTTGGATTATTTCCCAAAAAATCTCAAGATTGGAATTTCTGAAAAACTAATATGTTAGTTTTTGAATTACTATTTATGTAGGTATAACGCAGTCATTAAGAATATATTAATATAGAATTTTGTTCAATAAGCAATCAAATACGGTATGTGACGGTATGTGACAAAAGTATAAAAGTTATATAACCAATTTGTGACATACAACTTGATAAAAAAAAATATGAAATATTAAATTCATTTTCTCACCATTCCAGAGGAAAAAATTTTCCATTATTTTATGGTTTCCTAATAAACTAGACTTTGAGAAAATATTTTAAGTTCAAAAATTTAGTAAAAATTCTCCTATTATAACAATGGCATAGAGATAGCATAGAACAATTTTGAACAAAATCTGAAGTTTTACTTGATTGAACAAAATATTTTTTTTTCTTTTCAAAACGACTTAAGCCTTGGTTTCTTTGAACATTTCGTCGCGGTGAGCGACAGTCCGTCGACAGTCGCGTTTTGACGATTTTATCCAACCGGAGTATTTAAATAGGAATGGTTTTCTTGAATCCGCTTAGCTGAGCAGGACGGTGTCATGCCGCTGATTTGTCGCGACTAGTCGGTTCATATCTGTTGAGTTTGATATCAGCGGAATCGTCGACGTGTGCGGAGACAGTTGTGAATACAAATAATTATATTGTTATTACTTTTAAAACAATGAGTGACAAATTCACATATAGAGATGACTTTATGACTTTATTTGTAGGTTTCTTGAAAATGTCGTCCTTTATAAAACTCAACAAAAATTCAAAAAGACACCTGTAGAAAGTCTAAAATACTCCCTAAATTTGGTTTCATTTCCAAAAAGCCTCCGATGCACAGTGATATTAAAGACACCTTCTGTATCGCGACACAAAAACAACTTATCCACTGGCTTATTCCAACAATAATAACAACGCAAACAATTTATTTGCGTCTATTTGTTTACATTCATAATATATAAACAGCACGTACAGACATACACGTGCAGACATATTTAACAAACCACCTCGGGTGAAAATTGCTTTCCTCAGCGGTCGACGGACTGTCCGCTCACCGCGACGAAGTGTTCAAAGAACCCAAAGCTTTACCAGATTATTTCTAAATTCGCCCATCAGTAACTTATGTGACGAGTATGTTGGGTGAATTGTTTCAAAATGTTTGAATATAATATTAATTTTTTGGTCGGGTAAGATAAACCTGCATATTCAGTGCATACCACGCTAATACTTACTAACTAAAAAAAGTACATCTGCTAAAAAGTCAATTAATCAAAATACATTATTTTTATTTTTTTATAAACATTTTCAAATTAGTTTTAAATGCGGTTACAGCACAGATCACCTAAGCTTTTAAGTCATGTGGTAACTGAATTATTAAGAAAATGACAGTTTGTGAAATATCGATCAACTCTACTGGACATTCATTATAATAATTGAAATGACGTTTTTATCTTTAAGGTTTTACCTATGATGGAAAAATAAAAAAATGTAATTATACTTTGCAAATTAGGCTATTATTATGAACATTTTCTTAGGTCTTCTGGTATGGGGCGGCGAAAATTTCGAACTGAGCTTCAAAATATGGCAATGCGGCGGCAGCATAGAATGGGTGCCGTGTTCGAGAGTCGGCCACGTTTATCGCAGCTTCATGCCCTACAACTTCGGCAGCTTGGCCAAAAAGAAGAAGGGCCCCCTCATCACGATTAACTACAAGCGCGTGATAGAGACATGGTTCGATCCCGAGTACAAGGAATTTTTCTATACCAGAGAGCCGATGGCTAAATACCTCGATATGGGCGATATTAGCGAGCAATTGGCGCTTAAGGATAAGTTGAAATGCAAGAGTTTCCAATGGTACATGGATAATGTGGCTTATGACGTTCTTAATAAGTATCCTAAATTGCCGCCGAATTTGCATGTCGGAGAATTACGGTAAGATTTGATATGGTTTTATTGAAATTTTTTCATAACTAGAATAATTTTATTGGAACATGTTCAATTTTTTTTAATCGTTTGTTTTAGTTTTCAATTTTTCCCATGCTTTTTTTTTGTTACTAATAGGGAGTTCGTGTTATCCACAAGAGTATTTAATAGGATGGTTAGCAGTTAAATAAATATAGGTCCTATAATAACAAATTTAATAAAAGTGGAATACTTTGTTGTTCTGTTTTGAAGAAAATCAGTATATTGATATAAAACATTTAAAAATTTAAATAAATAAGTCATAAAATAAAATAGTGCAACATGGTGGTAGTACAATGGAAAATATTAAAAAAAAAATAGATCGGTTTATAATATGGTAAAATAATAAAAAAACAAATTGGTAAAACAATGAATAATACTAGAATAAAAAAACAGTGCATATGGTAAAACAATGGAATATATTAATAAATGACAGTCCTCATGATAGCACAATGGAAAATAAAAATAAAATGATGTGCACAGTAAAACAATAGAAAATATAAAAACAGTTTATATATGATTAAAAATAAAATAATAGTTGGAAAAAAACTCATGTAAAGATGGAATGTATTAAAATGGTAAAACATTGAAAAATATTTAAAAAGAAAACAGTGCACATGGCAAAACAATGAAAACTATTATAAAAAAACTTGGTAAAACAATGAAAAATATTTGATAAAAAAGCAGTGCATATTATAAAGTGAAACATTTAAAAATCTGTTTATATTATGTTAATACAATGGAAAATATATGAAGAAATTAGTACACGTGGTAAAACAGTGAATATGGTAAAACAATAGTAAATATTACAAAAAACAGTTTATATATGTAAACCAATGAAATATATTTGATAAAATAACAGTTTATATGGGAAAACAATGGAAAATATGTGGAAAAAATAGTGTATATGGTAAAACAATGGAAGATATTAAAAAAACATTACCCATGATAAAACAATGAAAACTATTTAAAAAATAAGTGAACATGTAAAACGTTGGAACATCATACAGAAAACTAGTACACATGGTAAAACAATGGAAAATGTTAAATTAATCCGATTTTAAATATTTTTTTTATTATTTTGGATAATTTTAAATATATTCATTATTCCTATTAGGAATTATGATATTTTATATTCGGCAATTTAAGAGTTTTAAGATATAAGCCGAATAACACGTTGTTCTACTCAAGTAACATTTTTATATGTATAAAAGTATACACGATAAGCATAAAATCCTTTTTTAATACACTGATAAACCTTTTGAATCCGCGAGATAGCCTTAGGGTTGCTATAAATCTGCTTTAAGAGTAAAAGGGAATCCTATAATGGTACTTAGTAGTATTTTTAAAACAATAATTTAAAACTAATTTGACCTAAGTCAAAGTCCGTAAGGGAATTGTATTAAACCACTTTTAATACTTTTTTAAGATTATGATAGGTGGAATAGGCATAAAAACTTTACAAAACTAATCAATTTTAAGATAATTTAATTTTAAACTGGTTTTCCTTTATTCTGTTTTATCATACTCTCTTTCAGAATGATTTCGTAAACATATTAGACATTCATTATTATATAGTGTATGTTTAATTTGTTCGGTTAAACTTGTTATTTGGTCAATTTTCAAACACACACCAAAGTACTGTTAAAAGCCGTCAAGGTGGGTCGTAATAAATGATGGGCCTTACAATATATGAAATGTCTGTAAAAAAAAGATTAATATACGTATTTTAATCTATTTACCGAAAGGTATTTAATAGAAAAAAACATTGTAAATATCGTATATATAACACTATAAAATGATTATATTTGTCTTCGATATGTTTTTAATATAAAATATCACATTTTGAATTATTTCATGGAAGTGTCTATTTAACCTCCAATATAAATTCTATTGTAGATTTGTCTTTGCAGGGATACTTGTTATTAATTACAAGAAAACCATTTTCAACAACGCATACTACCTACTGGACTACCAGAAACAAACTTTGTGTGTAATCATAAATTACATTAGGCGAGGCAAGAATTGTATAACATTATACCCCAGCTAGCACAAAAATATCCCATCTACGTTAATAAGCTGCAATTTAAGGCTCTTTAAGCTCCCATGCGATGTACTTTTAATGTAACCCTAATATCTCTGCAATCGCCGAATGTCCGCAACGGCAAGACTTTTATAGCACATCTCACAGAAGTTACAAAGTGAAGTTCGAAAAACATCACACTAGCAGTTTTACGGTACTTACCCCGAAAGTTGCTCTGAAACGTTCTATTGATGTTATAATGTGAATTAGTTCTACAGCATTATACAGTGTGTCCACTGATGGGCTTAACTATACTTGTGAAAATATTTATTTTAAATTAAAAAAGTAATTCTTCGTAATTTGTTTTGTTTGTTAAATAAATTCGATTCACATTAAGAAATTAAGAAAAAACTTTTTTTTTAATTTAAAATAAATATTTTACAAGTATAATTAAGTCCATCCGTGGACACACATTGTGTAATATAATGCAGAGAGGCTGAAATTGAGGCTATAGTAAAATCTGAATCTAGACATGAAAATTTCAAATAAAACAAAATATTTATATAAATTTATTATTAAAATGTTCTTGAAATCAAGTACCAATATCACAAAAGTAGAGGTAGGTATAGACGTGTTCTTTTATTCAGTGCTGTATCCAGCGCTTGCAGTAACCGTTCATAAATTAAGTGATGGAAAGACGATTGTATGTGTCAATCATTCTTTTTTCCAGCGGTGAGTTCACCAATGAGCCAACACATCCATCGGCTTTAAAAGCCGATGGATATGTGATAGATGAATGGTGAGGATATTTAATCAATTTGTTTGAACGTGTGAACACGATTATTTAAGTTAACCTAAAATATAAGAGTTTAAATATAAAACGACTGCAGAAAAGATAAATTACATCAATCACTGATGGAACAATTATTGAATCAAATCAAATCGTTTATTTTACATAATTTAAGTAGTACATTAACAGAGCATTGTTTGGAATGGATTCTTTAAGTCACGAGTGACTTGTCGAGAGTACATCCACAGTCATTGGGATACTTACCTATCATTTTAACATAATAATACATATAAAATACAAAATAATTTTCTAATAATTATAGAATAAATAAAAATAATCTTGTCAGAACCCAATTATAGGCTGATGAGTCAGTCTCCGCCAGCTGAATGATACCAAAGACGAAATACTAACCATCCAGATAACTGATAATTTATATAGATATTACTTTTCTTTTTTTTTAAATTTATAACTTTAAAATAATTTACTTTAAAAAAGGCAACTTTGTAATTATTGTCTCACTGTTTTCTTTGATCCAGTGAGAAGCTTTTACATTAAACATTTTTCTATTTATTTTATTTATATTTTTGATATGTGACGGTAACATGTTAAAGAGTCTTGGTCCAGTAAAAGATACATGCCTCTGGCAGGCAAGGAATTCAACCCTGTTTGTATAGACATGATCTTGGGAATAAAAGAACACACCTTATATCACAAACACACACAAGTACACATGTGGGATAGAAGAAGCTACCTATAAAGCACTGAACGATTGGACAAAATTAGATAAATAGTATAATAAGGTACCAATATTGCAAAGGTTCACTAAAACTTTAAACGGTGAACGATGATAAAGCTAGATTGGTGAATAATAATAAACGAATACAACAATGACTAGGTACATATTATTATATTAGATTACTAGAGGATAGCTAAGTTCCCTGATTTCTTACCTCTAGACGCAGAGATATATATTTTTTTTTTTAATCAAGCATTTTAACTTTTTTTGTATAGATATTTATAAAATGCTATAATGTAACCTAAATATGGCAATTTATTAGAAGAGCATACATTATATTTTTATATAAAAAGACTTTATTTCTCAATACATTGAATAAAAAAGAAATTGACAACTTGTTTACCTATTATTAAAGGAAATTATATAGAAATTAAAAATATGCCTTGCTTTGTTGTTTTATATAAAACAACAAATGTTAGTGTATTGAAATTTGTTTGAATTTTACAAATTTTATGCTTGTTTTCCAAGGTAGATATATCGATGGCTCAATCAAAAACTGCCACAAGTCAAAAAACAAAGAAAATTACATTTTTGTTCAATGAATGCAAAATATCATTAAGGTTTTACTTTAAATACCTCCACAAACAAAATCCTTAAAGATTTAAAATCTAGCCACAAACTGTGTCTAAAACTGCCTCAATTCGAGTTATTTTCTGCAAAAACACCCAAATTTTTTTACAAAATATGCAACAACTCGCTTTTATAATCATAATCGTTAATTTTAACAGCAAAATATCGAAGCTTTTAAATAAAATATAAAGATTTTATGTCAAAAACAAAATAATGATAATAGAAACTTACAAAATTTTAAAATGAAATTTCTCGAAACAATAATTTATATTAGTCAAACTTTTTTAATGTTAATAATAGGCTATTAGATTTAGTTTTCTCTAATGATAAATAGAAAAATCACTTGATCCAATTGTAGTGGAAGATAAACATCATCCTGCTTTGGTTTCGTCATTTGAAAACTGTTATAATTTCAAAAAAGTCAATTTTCCACTAATGTACAATTTAATGTCCATTATTGTTTGAACATTTTTAGAAGCCTTTAATATTGCAGAAGACGCTTTTACATACTTTTGTGTACAATTTTACAATGTTCTTGATAAATATTGATCCAAGTATTCCTACAACCATCAAAACAAATATCCAGCATGGTTTAATAGGGTATTGTCCCGGTCAACTTCAGATACAATTATGACGAATTACACACACTTTGTCATCTTGAGACCCTTCTGAGCAGAAGAAACCAAAGGGATCTTAAAATATTGTTTAACATTTTTAACTCATCTGCCGATTGTCCATACTTGTTATCCCAAATTGGATTTTCTGTGCCATCTAGAGTAACTAGGAATATTAATACATTCTCTCAACCTTTTCATAGAACAAATTATGGTTCTCACTCTTTTATTCCTAGAGCAACAAGATCTGCTAACAGACTAAATGTAGAATGGATTACTTCTCCATCAGATTTTTCTATCCATTTATGTATATGTGAGGAGTAATTTTTAATTGTTTTTAATATTTATGTATTTAAATTAATTTATTATTATTATTTAGGATTTTATTACTATTTAATGTATGTAATATGTATTATCTGTAATTGTATTGTTTTAATGGGCTCTGACCCGTAAATAAATAAATAAATAAATAAATAAATAAATAAATAAATAAATAAATAAATAAATAAAAATAATCAGTCTGTTACCCGTCAAACTTAATTTGTGGAAAAAATACAAACGGGAAAACGTTTTAGAAGCCTTTAAGAGCTGCTTTAAAATTAGAAATAGACATTTCTTATAGAGCATATATTAAAAAGACCTCAAGAGATCTAGTAATCCAAATAAATTCTGGTCATTTATGAATAACAAGAACTCGCAGTCTAAATCTCCTTAAAAGCTGTTGCTCCTTCTACGCAGATGATACAAAAATTTACGCTAATCCGATTGCGGACTATCAGTCTCTTTAATCTGGTCTAAGTGCGGTATCAACGTGGAGTTCAGACTGGTTATTACCGCTAAACGTTGATAAATGTATTGTGCTTCATATCGGTAAAAACAATCCTAAATTGGCGTATAATAATAATAATAATAATAATAATAATAATAATAATAATAATAATAATAATAATAATAATAATAATAATAATAATAATAATAATAATGCCTTAAAGATAGTATCGTCCCAAAATGATGGCGTTATCATTACTAAAGACTTAATGTGGTCAGAGCATATATTATCAGTAAGCAAACAATCAAACTCTCAACTATTCTTATTAAAAAAGACTTTTGGCAATGTTTCACCCTCAACATTTTTGAAAATATACACAATTATGTTCGTCCTCGCCTGGAGTACTGTGGTCCTGTTTGGTGTTCCGTATTAATCTCGGATCAAAAGAGGTTGGGAAATGTGCAGCGACTTGCGACAAGGCTTCCGTATGGTATAAGAAGGCCACCGTATGAACAGCGTCTGTCTACGGCTAATCTGACTCTTTTTAGTGAGCGTCGACTGCGTGGTGATTTAATCGTTTGTTTTCGCGCAATTAGGCATATGTTCGGTGTCGATCTTTCGGATTTATTTGTATTAATGACCTGTGCCTATGTGGGCATATGTTCAAATTAAAAAAGCAAAATTTTAACTCTAGAGTTAGGCAAAATTTTCTTTCAAACCGAGTTTTCTCTGTTTCATTTTTTTATATCAATTTATAGTTATAGTTTATAGATTAAAAAAAAAAATGTTTATTTTAATTAAAATTTTTAATAATATGAGCTTTATAGAACTTCGGCTCTCAGCTCATGTCAGTGAATAATAAATAGTGTCTTAAATCAACAATTAGCTAAAAACTCCTTTAGATATTCTTAATGGATTTACTGACTTCTTCAGACAGTCATATATTACCTCTAGTCCATTTATTGTTAATTCAAGTTCACAACTAAATGATCCTTTCTTAAATGTCAATAGTTTTACCGAAAAAGAGGTATATGAAGTCTAGTAAACCTAAAAAGACGACTGGTCCGGGCTATATTGCAGTTTTCAATTTGACCCTCCGTTAGTGCCTTACAACAGTTCCAGATATTTGGAAGACCGCAAAAGTATGTCCAGTTTTCAAAAAGGGATAAAAGAGAACCAGTTACAGACCAATATCTATAGTATGCAATTTGTCCAAAGTATTTGAAATTTTATTGAATAGGACCTTATAATCATGTTAGTAAAATGTTTTCAGTCAATCAACACAGGTTTATGAACGGTCGCTCAACAGTCACCAATTTGATTACCATTACACAATAAATTGCTCAATCTATTGATGGGCGTGCCCAGATGAAAGACATCTACACAGATTTCTCTAAAACATTTGACAGACTTGACCACGGTATTCTTCTTGAAAAACTTACAGGGTTTGGATTGTCCACGTCTTTGATGTTTTTTTTTCAGTTTGTACAGCCATTAAGTTTAAGTCGGTTGAATTTGTTGCAACATCTGGAATTTCCCAGACTTCCAGTCTGGGCCTGTTACTATTTAATATTTTCATCAACGATATATCTCCACTGTAATTGAAGAACAGTTTTTACTGTATACAGTTGATTTGAAGTTATACAATCGTCTGGTAAATATTGGTGACTGTGAACAACTTCATATGAACTTAAGTCTAATGGTTGAATGGTACAATAATGATGAAAAACTTAACCCAATTAAATGTAAAGTTATGTATTTTACTTTAAAAACCGACCATATACAATATAATTATTTAATAGATAATTTATCACTTCAGTGGCCTAATGCTTTTACAGATCTTGGAGTAATTTTTGACACCGGACTGTCCATATTTTATATTGATAAAATGATTGAAACATCTATGGTTTAATTAATACTTGCAGATAAGTGTTCTCACTTAACAGATTTTTCACTTTAACTATTCTATTCTACTCTATAAGAAGCAGTTGTTTGCCAATATGCAACTACACATTTCGATCCGTCAATTTCCGTCTCATGTCATCTGCTTTGGACAATTGAAATCGATTTGTTTCTTATTGTAACAACCTTTGCCTTTGAATTTCAATATATTGCCAATATACCTCTGTTTGGTATAAAAAAACTTATATTTTTCAGTCCTTGATTTCATGCAGGTTCCACAATTTTTATTTCCAAAGTTCTGTCCTCTAGAATTTGGTAAATCTAAATTTTTTAAGGTAGTTTTTCAAATCTCCAAGTATTTGTTTTCACCTTTAGGGTTCGGGGATGGTCTTAATAATTATTAGGGGAATGTTTTGAGATTTGTTTCTGAAGATTCAGATTATTCTTACTTTCAGTTTCGTAAGTTTCTAAGAGAATTCTGTTTCTCCCGAAAGAATTCGGGCATTTTGGCCAGATGAGTACACAGAATTCCAAATAAATTGAACCTTCGTAATTTATTTATGGATAATTGTTAATTGGTTGTCCAATGAAAAATTTACTACATGACAAAATTTACAGATCCGTGGCGGCCACCAAATGCCTGGACACTCTGGGACATGCTCCGCCCTCTCTGATGGCTGTCCAACATTGCCACGGCTTCGGCAACAATCAGCTGATGAGATTGAATGCCAAAGGGCAAATGGGAGTCGGAGAAAGGTGTATCGAAGCTGACGGTCAAGGCGTCAAATTAGCTTTTTGCAGAATGGGAACCGTTGATGGACCCTGGGTGTATGACGAAAATACGTATACGTTATTGCATAGGTAAGTGATATCCCATATTTTTTATCTTAAACTTTATTAAAATATTGACTTATTACACTTTATAGGTGTTAACAAATTTGTTTTTGGAAAATATCTCACCAACAAGTCAGTACTTTATAACATACATATGCACTTTTGAGGGTGATAACATCGTTAATAAATAATCAAAATACTAATAAACCGAATAAATAATATAAAACCTTCGCTATACTGAAATTCTGGTAGTTTGCAAACTGACGTCTTCAGTTACTTTTTAACGAATATAAGGAGCTTCTAGGTCAAACAGGGAAAGGGGAACCATTTTTAGATCTTTTTTTTTTCAAGATTCAATCGGTCGCAAAATGAAAACCACGCTGACATTTATTGAGAGATCTGTCATAGCTACTAACTTTCCAATATACTCATAATAGAAAGCAGCTGCCTGTGCTTTCAGCCAATTCTCTATGCTGGTCTACAGTTTGTTGTCCGAGCTAAACTTCGGTCTTCCTAGCAGGAGTTTCATGTGGGTAGAGTTCGAAATCAGAGAGCCAAGTATGGGCAGTATGGTGGGTGCATCGCACCCCTCAACATACATAAATCGAATTACAGCAAACTCTTCACACTTAGTGGGAGATTCTGTTGTTCGAGGAATGTTTACATGCAACCTGACGCGATCGAAGGGCCTACTACATTACACTACATTACACATATGTACACAGCGTCATCGGATTTTCACTGTGGTTTTCATTTTGCAACTGATCGGACCTTGAAAAAAAAAATAGTTCTCGTATTAATTAATAATTTATTTTTAAAACTTATTTTAATAATTTTAACATCTAGAGACACCTCTCGGCAACTTTATTAACCTGCAAAACTTTGACAAGCTGAGAGATTGGCTGTCCCTAGACACCTCTCGGAGAGAACCAACAGTTTTTTGTCGGATTGAGCAGTGACGGCTCGGGGGGGTCAAAGTAAAAAGCGCCCCAGACGAAAAATTTTTTTGGGGCCACGTTCTAATTTGGCTTTATTTCTCGTTTTCTAACTAGGGAATATGAAAAAAAAAAACGCCCTTTAAAAATAAAGAAATCTTAACCAGTTTGTGTTTCATTAATATATTTGTTTTTAAACTGTTTTAAATTTTAGATCAACTCTTCGGTCTTTAGCATTTGAAAAATGATTGATAACACTCTTATTAAAATTAACATTACTGTTTATAAATGGTTTCTCTATACATGGCCAACGCAGACTGCCTTTCTTGTCCCATAGTATTTCGTAAAAATGTCTTTATTCTCTTTAATGTAGAGAAACATCGCTCGTTTTCTATAGTTGTCATTGGTAACGTTCACAGTATACTCAACAATTTGGCAGATTATTATTAAATAATTGGACCATTGTTACGGCTACAGAACTTTTACCAAAATCATCCCGTTCATAAATGACTTTTAGTTCAGTTGTAAGTTTTAAATAATTTACACTATTTTACTGTTTTTAAAAATGGTCCGGAAAATTGTTTATACATTGTTCAAACTGATCGCTACAAAATAATTGAGCGATTACCAAATGGTCACTAAAACTAAAATGGTGGTTTATTTCAGATGTTATATGTCACAAACTTCCAATGATGAATTGAAGGCATTTCTGAAGATATTTCATTTATTATTTTATCTCTGAAATTTTGAATTGAAACTTTAATTTAATTTTTTACCAATTAACATCAATACCGCGTTTTTGTTGACCCAATTGCCCGAGTAATTGTATTGGAATCTTCTTCATTCTCAATTATCTTCTCTAGAGAAGTCAGACTTTCAACCTGATATAAAAATAAAAATGTCGGTACAGCTCTAGGTAAACGAATTTAAAAAAAATTGTCAAGAACTGCTTTACGTTTTGAAGATCGACTAAAAAATGTGGAAAACCCCTGTAAATTGGCAAAAAAATACGTTTTTATTCTGACTAGCTACTGTTTTGCAGTTATTATGTTTATTTGGTGGGCATAGCAATGAATAAAATTAGCAGCAGGATAACGTCCTCTATTTTTTTGCCCTCCACTTAATCGTCCAGTACATGCTGCATCATAACTTTGTCCAATTAATTTTTCCGGTGTTTTATTTACATACTTCAAAAATTTCTGATTCTTTAAAAATTACGCCTGACAAGTGTTCGGCTTTGGTACCAGACGGAATTTTAAATTTTATTAACCTTTCATGAACGATGCCTGGCAATATATACCGTATTATAAAAGTCATTTGTGTTTTATTGGAGCTATCAGTGGTTTCATCCACCTGAACGGCGATATATTCAGATGACAGAATTTCCAATATAATTTGTATTTGAGCCACCAATAACATTGAATAAAGTAAATAATTTTGCACAGTTTTAGATGTATCATTCTTCACTGGGCCCCGCTTCAGCATTTGGCCTTATAGTCAATGAGGAGGTGAATACAAAGCTCACTCTCATTGATTTGACCTTTAGGGATCCCACGTCTTCGTCTCTGATTCCAAAGACGAAGAGATTGCCCTTGGGGTCTTTTTTGGTTTCATGGTGGAAGGTGCACCATTTCGCCACATGCAAGTTTGGGTTTTGCCCCTCAAGTCTCCTGAGCACAATTTCCTTCTCGTCAAGGTCAGTTGGCGCTTCCTCTGGAATCCAGAGAGAGGCTTTGGGGAGCTCGTCCATGCTTCCAACAGCGAGTGCTGCTCTTCCCATGTTTTTAAGGTTTGTACCTTGGTTTCTAGCCATTCAAACGTCTCGCATTACTCTGATGATTTCACCCGAGTGTGTCAAAAACCTAAATGTGGGTGCTTGGTTTTGCAGCTCTCCCATTAGTTGCTTTTTAAAAAGGATCTTTCTTTTGGTAATTATCTTACCTTAAGGGTTGTCCTTGTCTATTATGGCTACTTTCTGGTGGCTCGTAGCTGCAACCTTGTAGCTTATCCCAGATAGACCTTTGTGGTCCTGTCTGGGTTTTTCTCCTTCCGAGGCGTTACTTCGGGGAAGAGGTATCAGATCGCAGCATTTTCTTGTCCCTAGTTTCGTCATGTTCCTGGCATTTTGTTCGCTACCTAAAGACTTGATTAAGCCGCTTTTGTTTGATTTGGAGTGAGGGCGTTTGCTGAGAGTGGCGGTTGCCGTAGCACTGCCTGCAGCTTATCTCTCTTCCTTCTCTTTGCTTTGGACCCAGAGATCCTCTTGCCTGTTCGGGGCTTGTTAGTTGGAGGTGAACTGTGGTGTCCAACCTCCTTTGCAGAAGGTGAGCGTTGACATCCATCCTTTTTTTTTTTAGAGATAATTGTCGCTGTCCAGCCTCATGCGCGGAGTTGAACTTTGTTGTCCAATCTCCTTTGCTGGAGGTGAGCGTTGACGTCCATCCTCTTTGGGTTCTTATTTGTGTGTGTCCATATGGTTCCTACGAGTAGCTAAGGAAGGAAAGGTCGACCAACGCAGAGCCCTGTATTCTCCGGCAAGGCTATATACAAGAGGATGTACCCAAGTTCCCTCAGGGGAGCGTTTGCTGTTGCATCTGCCCCTGCGACAATTCATCCGTCGCGTCGGCACGTTACCTTACACTTTAACTAAGAAAGCTGATTCGCGGAGGTACCATTCGCAAACTATTTTGAGGATTTTTAGCATCTTTCAGTCTACTTATGCCTACCACTAACCAAAGAAATCCTGGTCGTTCTCCTATCCACCACACGCTCAGTTGGCACTTAACCGCTGAGTAAATTAGCTAACTTGCACAATGATCTCAGGTTGTTTAATATTCCCTTTTCATAATTCACAGTACTTAATACTGAGCTTTGAATTCTAATGATTTACTGTGTATTTTTTCTTTTTTAATCTTCGATTAACCTATTTTATTATTTTAAATGTCCCTAGTCTGTATGACATGTATAATGTCTTTGTTTGTGCTTCAGCACAATAAATATTTGTGATATTTTGATTAATTTTTGAAATTGTAATTTTTAATTGAAATGGGCTTGCCCGTAAATAAATAAATAAAATAATTAATAACTGAAGGTGATTTTAGTCTAGCAAAAAATCCTTTCAGAAATGTAATTTTTCAATATGTTACTAATAAATCTTGCCACACGTTCTGAACCAAATTATGGGAGGAATAAATCTTTAAATGTACTTTCGTGTTTGGTTCAGAACCTGTATGGAGTTGAGTAACCTAGCCGAGCTCGGCCAGTAAGATCTCCCGTACCCGGCAAACAAAATAGCAACCACTTACGACATGCGGTTGGTACTTTCCATTTCCTCCAAATGGTACGGAACTCTCGACAACTCCTAAACAGCCTTGATACTGGCAATACGAATGCATCCCAACTTTTTCTGATTTACTGGAATGATTTCAATGAAGTCAGTTGACAAACATTCGTGATTTCAGTATAGAATTAAGTGACGCGAATTTTTTATTTTCTGTTACAGGGTGCACAAAAAATGCATGGCTCTGCATCCGCAAACGAGCAATCTGTCGCTGATGCCGTGCGACATCAACAACGCATATCAGCAGTGGCTGTTCAAGCAAATTAAACCAAAATGGAGCGAATAAAACACATACTAAAATCGAAAATTTCAGGTCGTTAGGTCAAACGTCTTCCTAAATATATTTTTTTATTTATTTATTTTGAAATAACTGAACTACATGGACTTAATTTTCTTGTTTTAGTTTTATTATTTGTTTATCTGTTAAGTTTGTTGAATTATCGATGAGTGAAATCGTAAGTCAAACATTCAGAGTTTGTTTGCAGGATTAAAATTTTAAAAGATATTTTAAAGCGATTAAAAAGACATTTTTAGAAATATATATATTTTTTTTAACAATTATTTAACTCTGTAATGACAGTATTATTGGAAAATAATTGATATTTCAGTGAACTATTGCTCTTTAGTTGTTAATATAATGTATTTACAAAAGTTGCATACAAATGAAAAAAATATCCATTTATATAAAAATAAAAAAAAAAAATGATAAGTCCAGCTAAATTCCTTTGAATTCGATAATCGAGGATCAATTTCGAAAATATATATGTTGGTATACAGGAAAATTAAAAAAATAAATTGAAAGAGTGGAAAATGTTGATAGAAAATGAAAATTATACTGAAACGTAAGTTTTTAAATGCTCTGAATAGAAATATTTATCTTTTTTCTCCAAATTCATAAACATGTTAATCATTGTGTTGAAAATTCTGAGAACCGTTGAATTCTTCTTTCCGACAAACAAAAATATATTTTGTTAAAATTAGTATTTTTCTATAAAAACATCTATAAATCTAGTAAAACATTGGAATATAAAAAAAAACATATAGCTAGCGGGTGTTTGTCAAAACTCAAAAAATATAGTTTCAAGAAAAAACTGTTTAAAGATAATGCCAGGCATTACATCTGATTTTTTTTGTAGATTAGTATCGTTGTTTGATTTGTATTGATCTAATTTGGTTCTTAAAATATTTACTTTAACATTGTTGTAAAATTTGGTCTATAAAGAACAGTAATATTTACATTTTTTCGTAAAATATTCTACATTCTACATGAGTTATGACTCTTTTTAGCATCTATCGACATTTTTTTGAAATAATATTGAATACACTATTAAAAATAAATAAAAAATAGGAAAGAGAAACTTTTATTGACTGCATTTACAAAAACCATGAGTAATAATTAGGAATATAATGATTTTGGAGAATATTCACATTGATTCGTGTGCTTCAATTTGAAAAGTAACACTAATATCGATCGTAGCATTGACAAATCTGTCAAAAGTTAAAGCGTCACTTCCGAAATAGACAAAATAAAAAATAACGTTTCTTTAATAGGTAGGGTGTTTAGTTTCTGATCGATAAAATGTGATTTTTTAAGTTGTGACGCGTTCTTAGCGCGTGTGCGAATGGTAAAACTAGGACTGGGCGATTAACAAAATTAATAACCGAATAATCAAAATAATGAAATAATCTAAAATGATCTATTAATCGAAAATAATCTATTATCGATTTTATACAAAAAATTAATCGATTATTTTGCCCACCCCTGGATAAAACTACGATTTTTTTTAAACAGTACCTCATATGGTAAAACAATGGAAAATATTTCAAACAAGAAAACGGTAAATGTGGTAATAATATAGAAAATATTTGCATGTTGACACTGGAAAACATTTGAGAAAACCACATTATGATTTAATAATGGAAAAGTTTTGAAAACTCTAGGGTATATGGTAAAATATTGGAAATTTCTGAAGCACGGTGAAAAATATTTGAAAATAAACGGCGCCTATGGAAAATATTTTAAAAATTAAACAATATTGTAAAACAATACAAAATATTAAAAGAAAACGATGCCTTAAAAATAATTGCTAATATTTAAAAAACCAGTGCTCCTATTAAAATAGTGAAATATTTGAAAAACCGAACATATGGTAAAACAAACGAAAATATTTGAAATAAAAATAAAACTGCACATGGTAAAACATTGTAAGAAAATGAGAGGGAACGACTTTAAAGATAAAGAGGGATCTCGGCGAAATTGTAAAACTCCAAATTATATTTTTGAGTTCCACCTTAAAATAATGGAAAGCTTTAAAAAAAGCATATGTTGGTTGGCCAATATTAAAAAAACAAATCCTAACAGATGTATAATAACAATTTTTTAAATTAACTTGAAAACTAAAATAATAACAAAAATTTAAGCAATGTGCTTTCAATTCCGTCTTCTAAATTTAAAAGTACTTTAGTCCTCAGTATAAATCAATATTTGTTTTTCAAATTTCTCTGCAGCCACATTTTCGTAATGTAATGCTCGATTAAACAATTCTAAGCGATATGTATATATTTTTGAGAAGTGCTTGATACTTTTTTAACTTTGTATACCTACAACTTTTGTAAGTCAAAGATTAAAATAGTGGAGGTTAAGACGTTTCTAAACGATAAAAAATCGATCAAATTAAATTGTAATAATTTACGTTACGTTTCGTTTTCGTTCTGTTTTACACATACACTATAATTAAGTAGACGTCCAGCGGGTGCTGTTTTTTTTTATCCTGTTAACCGTTGATCGATATTTTTTCGTTCAGTACAAGTCAATATTCTTGAAATACGAGTAAAAGTTTGACAATCGCCGAAAGAGGCAAACATTCCCATAACTTTATAAAAAAAAATTTGGGGGTTTTTATATAAAAAAAAAACTGTAAAATGAAAGTTTCTTGGGGCTTTTGTGTATGTGTGAATTGAAATAATTGACGCGAATTTTTGTGGATTGGTTCGTGTGTCATCTCGTCATGGCGTTTATTTGATTTCCTTGGAATTTTCTGAAGGGTAAACCCTCATATAGGGTGTATCAGTGATACGTGGGTGGACGATAGCTGCTTTCTTATTTAAGATTGGAAAATTCTCTCAAATGAGAGCAATGAAAGCTGTGTTCCGAAAATAACTACCAATATAGTGTCAGATAAATGTGTGATTATCAAAATTATGTTCTTCTTTTTAATGAAACACCAAATATATTTTTATTCGATTTATGTCCCTTGGAAAAGTGTTTCTCAAAAATATAGGGTTGTATGGGTTTAGGGTGGCACAAAATTGATCGAATTGGAAATTTGATCGAAAATACATTTTATCGAATGGTATTTGATCGAAAATACATTTGATCGAAGATATATTTTATCGAATAACATTTTATAGAGAAGACAGTATGATCGAACATTTATTAGATCGAAAGGACAATATATCGAAAATCAACATTAAAAATTGTAAAATATAAAAAAATCAAACGATACCATGCGACCGTCCGTCTAATACCTACTACCGGAGAATTTAAACTCAGCGGCTATTAGAATTAAGTACTAATGGCAAATTTTTCGATAATCTCAAACGAAAAAAATTAATATTTTAGAGCTAAACGGTTATTTATCTTTATTAAGATTTAAAAACTGTTAACTCGTACAAAAAATGTATTTCAATAAGGTCGAGTTGTCTCCCAATGGGACATTTTAGGTAAATTATTTTAGGTTTTTTTATATATAAAAAATTAATTTACCTAACCTGTGCGGTCTGAAGCTATAGTGGTTTGCCTCGCAAAAAAATTATAAAAAAAAAATGGAAAAATAAAAAACTTAACTAATTTACCTAACCTGTGCGGCCTGGAGCAATTTAACTGATTGCTCTGACACAGGTTAGGTAATTTAGTTTTTTATAAAAAACTCAACCAACTTACCTAACCTGTGCGGTCTGGTGTCGTTGCGGTTTCCATCGCAAAAAAAAATATTAAAAAATGAGAAAAGTAAAAAAAACTTAACTAATTTACCTAACATGTGCTATTTAAATTTAACTGTTTGCTCTCGCACAAGTTAGGTAAGTTAGGTACCTACGTTAGTTGTTTTTTTATTTTTTGTATGTTTATTTTTGTGAAGCAACCAGCGATGATTCTAGGCCGCGCAGGTTAGATAAATTAGTTAAAAATGTTGTTTTAATTTTTCTTATTTTTCTATAATTTTATGTATATTTTTTTTCTGTTCATTTTTCTTTTCGATCAATTTCGATAAAATGTTTTCGATCAAATGTTTTCGATCAATTTTGTGCCACCCTGAAGTGGTTCGATGTTAAGATGGGTTCTGAGGTTTGAAAGAACACACACACTGGGTATAGAACTATTTATATTGCCAAATGATTTATTTATTCAATATTGGACAAAAGAGGTAACAAAATAAACTCAAATAATTTTAAAAACGCTTAAATATACAGCATATGCTTAAATAATCTACCATGTTGACCTATGCACAAATTAGGTCTATCTACAATTGCTCTTCGAACTTCATAGTCCTGTCAAAATAGACATTCAAGGTTAGATTAATTCGCATAAAGCTGAATCTTGAGTTAATTGTTTATATCATCAATACAAAAGAAAGTCCTCATCGATCCCGCAATTGCAAAAAAATTATTCAAGGTTAAAATTTGCAAAAATGGGTTTTTTTGCATTTTTCAACAAAACTTAGTTTTATCATAAAAATACATATTAGATAAAAATTGTAGAGCATGCAATTACAAAAATTGTATTTACACTTTTTTTCTAAGAACCACCATTTTTGAGATATAGCGATTCAAAAATAGCAATTTTCATAATAAGCACACGTTTCCACATCACCTGTGAGGTAGTGTATGAGACGCGCTTGTTTTAACCTATTCCATGGTGTATTATGGTCCAGTTTAATAAAATAATGTTGTTTTTAATAAAAAAATGGAACTATGGAGTAGATAGAAGCTGTGAGAAACGTAATTAGGAAAATCATAATCTACCAGGACTTCAAAAGCAGTGTCTTCATCTTCTTCTTCCTGCTGGATATACGTGAATTGTTCTAACAGCGATGCATCAGATGTTTCCTCATTGATTTCGTAGGAATCCTCTTCTTTTGGCGATTCAACATTGGAGCACGATTGGCCTTGACAACTGGTACATGCTGACGAACAAAACCAACTTTTTTGCAGACGCATTTCGCATTACATCCATTTTTACAATTGCAAAAAATGTATTCTGGAGTTTTTCCGGCGTAGGTGAAAATA